CATAGGCCCAGCCGGCATAAAAATGATCTCTCAGTTATCCCTGGCCGTATTTTTTCATGATTTCTTCCATCTCTAAACATCTGCTGAAGTTACTGTTCTACAGTGTGCTTCAAGCAGTTAAATACTTATGGGGATATAAGTGTGTTAACCTAAAAATGTAGGCTTTTGGTGATATAAGGTAATAAAGGAATGAGTTTTAGAAAATCTAGATCATTATCAGGTCTCACTGAAACATCAAAAATCTCATCTGTGCTTTTGACTAGCTCAGGTTGGCACGTATCAGATTGTCTGTCACCATGCCAGATACTTTACATATGTTATCCAATTTAACCATTAGTGTATCTCTTTAGTAGAGTTGGTATCTGAGTTCTATAGACATGGAGTCTGACAGGAAAATAAGTAATTTACCCAAAGTTCCATGGTTATATGTTTAGTAAATTTGAAAACTTTTTAAAGTGGATACTAACGTAGGATATTTTTAATGATGACCATTATTTTTTTAAAAAATACGTAATTTTAGTATTCTCTGATTTATATATTGAAACATCGTAACCTTTTTTTCAGTGTATAGTCTTTGCTATGACATCTGGCCAAATGTGGAATCATATTCGTGGACCTCCATATGCTCATAAGAACCCACACAATGGACAAGTGGTAAGCGTGTTTTCTAACCATTGGTATTCTAAACTTAATTCTTACTTAATGATAGGAATCAGAAATTAGGTTTAGCATTTATAATAGAGGATTCTATTCATAACTGTATATTTTGTTTATTCTCACCACCCCTGTCACATGTTTACATGTGCGTGTGCACACACATGCCCACACACATGCTCACACACTCATACACATATAACTTTTTTTTAGGGTGAAGACTGCTCTCATGTTGATTTTTAAGATCAATATATCTATCACATCAATATATATGATGTATATTCTACTTTTTTAACTTCATAAATTGCTATGGTGAAAACATGTAATGCCACAAAAGAAAATGTATACACCTTGTAGCCAGTGTACCATCAATGGTAAATTTAACCTGCTTCAGAAGAGGTTAATTAAACCATCATTAAGATTTCTAGCTGTCATTATGGTAGAATGTTAAGAATCCTTTGCCAGAAAATGAAAAGTGGAATTGATATGTTTTTAAATTACTGGCAGATTTCACATTAGTCACTCACTGCTCCTGGATTCACTTGATAATGTTTATTGCCTTCCCTTTTCTTTTGATGGGTAGGAAATACTGTAATAGATCAGCATAGCCTAGTACTTTCCATGAAGCTTAGTATTAGGATGGTGAAGATTCAAAATACTTTTAAAATACATATTTTTCTCTAACTTAAAAAAAATATTTTATCTGTTCTCCCACTTTGTTCTTTTCTCTTGCTGCTGGAGTTTTTGGAAATGAGTGCTTACATTACATTTCATATATAAATATTTCAGTAGATATCCCTTGATGCGGGATAGCTTAATCAGGTTTTAGGAACTAATTGCATATTAGCAGACTAGCAGTCATTTATACTGTATAATAAGCAATTTGGTCTTAACGGTTTTGCAAACATTTTCAGATTTCTCCTATAGATGGTAAAGTTACAGTCAGCATTAGACTATATGGATAATCATCTGCCATAAGTTAATCACACATGACTTTTATATTGTTGATGGTTTTGAAATGTCATTATATAAAGAGAAGAATGATTTCAACTTGCCTTCAACATTCAAAATCAAGTTATTACAAAGAAAATTGGATAGTTATGGAGCAACAAATCATTCCCTTATCTTTAAATCTTCACCATAAATTCAATCTCATCAGTGATACCACCTACCACCCTGTTTGAAAAGTCCTTTTTTCTCTTATAAAGTGAGTCCTTATACTCACTTTCTCCTTTTCCTGTTTTATTTTTCCTTAATAGCATCGATCACCTTATAATATGATGTAATTTACATATTTTGTGTCATTTCTGTTGTCTTTCACTGTGACTCCAATATTATATATAAGCTTCTGACAGCACAGATTTTTGTCTGTTCTGGGCACTGATATATTCCTATCATAAAAATGGGACCAATGCAAAGATTTGGTCACTATTATGATATTTTTAAATGTGTATGTTTAGGAAATATAAATTTATAATTACTGATATTTTTTAATATTTATTTTCAGTTGTAGTTGGACACAATACCTTTATTTTATTTTATTTATTTTTATTGGTGCTGAGGATTGAGCCCAGGGCCTCGCACATGCTAGGCAAGCGCTCTACCACTGAGCCACAACCCCAGTCCCATCATTACTGCTTTTTTTTTTTTTTATAAAAAAACCTTTTTTTTCCCTTGAGTTTTATTATTTAGAAAAACTAGTTTTAAGGGAATTAGGATTTATATACTTTTGGTTAAGCAATAAGTTTTATTTCAAAGTTTTACATTACATTCCAAATTTCAAATTTTTCTTTAAAAGCTGAACTTAGATAATATAAAAACAACAATGTAACTATGACAATTATTATTCACTTGGTATATATTAATTGTATCTTTATCCAGTGTAAAAGTCTTTAAACTGTAAGATTTCTTTAAAAAATTTTTTAAATTGTTATTATTAGTTATACATGACAGTATTTTGACACATTGTACACAAATGAAACACAACCTCTTATTCCTCTGGCTGTACATGGTGTAGAGTCACACCAGTAGTGTAATCATACAAGGATATAGGGTAATAATGTCTATCTCATTCTACCATCCTTCCCATCCCCACAGTCTTTATTATTTTTTAATATTATTCTAGAACAGCATGTCTTAGGCTAAAAAATTCTTTTTATTAATGTTTTTATTTCATTAAAGTATATAAAATTGATCGACTTTCTTATGTAATATTTTAATATGTCTATGTGATCTATGTCCTTGTTTTCTTCACCGTTTTGTTCTTGAGGCTCTGTCCTCTTGCATATGGTTTACTGAAGTGTGCTTTAATGATGAAACTTGCACTGATAATGACAACAAAAGCCATCTTTTGTTGATTATTGAATGTCAGGCACTAGGCTATGTAAATGAATATTTTAGGCTATCACATGAATATTCCTAAAGCATACTTTTGTGGTAATAATAGTGTTATATGTGCATTTCAGTTACCACTTAAGTTGGAAATCCTAAATGGCTCCTGATTTCCTGCCCATTATAATTTTTCTTTTCAACCTGATACTCTGCTACTTTGTAGAGAAACTCAGTGTTAGCCTATTTGTACTGTTCATTGTTCTCCAAAGACATGATTTATTTTTCTGCTTCCATTTCTGGAGTATTCATTACTTTTAAAAAATCATGACCACCATTCAAATATCATCTAGTCTACCATTCCTCTGAGGTTAATTCCTTCTTTCTTTGTTGTCTCTCCTTTCTTATATACATTTATGCATATATTGTTAATCTATTTAGATATTGTAAGCTTTCTTTTAGTAGAATAATTTTTAATGTTTCTAACAATGCTTATTAGTCAAATCCTTAAACATACAGAGTTTCTCTTAAGCTGTTTTTCATCTGTAAAACATGCATACCATTTTGAAAGGTTGGCACGGCTCTTGAGAAAAGGTACTCTGAAGGTACACAAAGAAGCATAATAATAAAATAAAATTTTCTGTAAAAACCATTTTCCTCATGTATAAATCTAATTTTCAAATATATTTATTTATATTGTTAACACTTTAATAGAGAATTTAAAGAAGCTGAGCTTATAGAAGTAGAGTAAAATAGTGGTTACCAGAAGCTAGGGAGGGGAAACAAAACAGGGAAGGAGTTGAGATTGGTAAAACTGTATAAAATTATAGTTAGATAGGAAGAATAAGTTCTGGTGTTCTCCTGCACCATAGGGTTACTATAGTTAACAATAGTGTATGTTCCAAAATAACTATAAGAGAGGATTTGGAGTATTCTTACACAATGATGAATGCTTGAGTCAATAAATATGCCAAATAACCTGATTTGATCGTTACACAGGGAGTACATGTATCAAGACATCATTGTGTCGCATAAATATGTACAATTATTATGTGTCAAAAATAAAATTTAAATTATAGTCTCCTTGTACTAAATTTTGCAAACTATTTATAGGAAACTATTATACCCCAAAAGCAGCAATCGGATTCTAATTTTTTTTTTTCAGATTTGCTAAATGATTGATGTCAACTATATTTTGATTTATGTTCAATGGATTGAGAAGTTTATGCTAAAACTATTAATGAAGAATTATGTTCTTTACTACTGAACTTTTTAAATGCTTTAGATTTTCACTATCAGATTCTCTATAGTTTCATGAAATATTGTCTCACTTTCTCTGAAGACATAGTTTCTAAAAACAATTCTGAGTAGGGATGAGTTATTTTGTGTCATGTTTTTCCTGTATTTGTGAGGTGTTTTTTTTTTCCAATTATAGCAAGTACATTTAACATTACATCTACTCTCTTTAAATTTTAAGTGTACAATACAACATTTTTAACAATAAGCAAGATTTCCTGGATTTATCTTGTGAGAGTTTTTCCTTTTTGAGTATTAATATTTCCCCATTTCACAAGTATTAGGTGCTTAGCCATCACCATTGTACTCTCTACTTCTGAGTTTTGACTGTTAGATACCCTAAAAAATTGGAACCCTGCATTTTTTGTCCTTTGGTATCTAGGCGATTCCACTTAGCATTTTGTCTTCAGGTTTCATCCATGTCATGTATGATAAGATTTCCTTCTTTTTAATTCCCGAAAAACATACAATTATATGTATATGCCACATTTTTATTTATTAACCTGTTAGTGGATATTTAGTTTGTCCCATTTCTTGGTTATTGTGAATAGTACTGCAGTGAGTATAAGAGTGCAGATTTCTCTTTGAAATTCTAATTTTAATATTTGGGACAAATACATAGAAGTGGGATTGTTGGATCATATAGTATTTCTGCTTTCACTTTTTTGAGACATTTCTATACTGTTTCCCATTAGATGTACCATTTTACTCTTCCACTAACAGTGTACTATGCTTTTCTTTTATCCACAACCTTGCCAACAGTATATGTTTATTTCATAATAGCCTTCCAAATGTATATGTGATGATATCTCATTGTGACTTTCATTAGCATTTACTTGGTGATTAGTGATGTTGAACAAACAGTTTTTGATGTATATATGGGCCATTTGTATGCATTCTTTGGAAAAGTATCTATTCAGGTTCTATGTTCATATTTTAAATGTAGTTGTTTGTTTGCTGTTGAGTTTTAGGAATTCCATATGTTTTGGATAGCAGCCCGTTATTTGATGTGTGATTTGCAAATATTTCCTTTCATTCTGTAGATCACCTTTTCTCTTTATTCTTTGTTTCCTTTGTCATGCAGTTTGATGTGGTCCTACTTACCTATTTTTTTACTTTTGTGTTCATATCCCAAAAGATTATTGCCAGGACCAGTGTTGTGAAACTTTTCTTCTGTTTTCTTATAACAGTTTCAGGTATTATATTTAAGTCTATCATAGATTTTGAATATAGTTTTATATGTCCTGTGAAATAAGGGTTCAGTATTTATTTGTTTTTGTTATTGGAAATTGAACCCTTGGCACTTAACCATTGAGCCACATCTGCAGCCACCCCCCATCCCCCTAGCAACTATAAGATGCTAAGCAACTCAGTGA